TGGTCGTAAAGGTAATGACGTCACAATGCGTCTGTGAATTATTTTTGGTGTAGGGCAGAGACATCAGCGCTAACAGATACAGTCTTTCGATTGCGTCATCGAATGCGAGTGTATGCTACGCAGAACGTTTTCTCCTTGATATACGATATACGATATGCGCTCAGCTCTTGTTTGGCTCTACAATTTCCTGCGTTTTATTTTTGCACGTGTTGTTGGCTCTGCGACGTTTTTATTGTCGCGTACTTCAGGCGCTTATAAATAGTAGCCATAGGCCCTTCTAAAGGTCATTGTTTTTATCTAAAAGTAGTACCCAGAATCGATTTTAATAAGCAATCGAGTTGATCGTCCTGTATACGAGTTGGTGAATAGACCGAATCGTTCTTTTCGCTGACTCACTATACACTAACTAGCTCATGACTTGTGCATACTATCGCTAACGGAAGGCAAATTCTCAAAGAGAGTTATCGAGCCAGAGTGGGTTAGTGGCAAAATTCATAGCCGTTGGAGCTCTCTGCATTTTTATAAATCATTTTATTGAAACTGTTCGTTACCCTATCGTTATTACGATGAGAATTTCTGTTGCTACAATGTTCAACACAAGTGCCAATCAAGCACCGGCGTTAAATCTTCTTCAATCATTAAAAACGAGTTGGGTGCCAAAAAACGTCAACTGAACAAGCCAGTTGGAAATAAACAAGCATGCAAACATACACACATACATACGTACATGTGTAAAAAATCAGAAAAAGAAAAACAAAACAAAAACATCATAACAGAAAAAATGTTGGAGCTTGAGCTTTTGCAGCGGGTACAACAACAATTTGTGATCTTGGCAAATTTTCCTTCGGACAAGAATTGCAGACGCAACTAACAACAATCTGCAGAAGCAAGCAGCTATTAGCAAATATTTTTTAGTTAGGCTTTTTTTGTGTTTAGTTTTTAGTTTCGGGCCCACATTACAACACCACATGTTATATGTATGTGATTGGAGTGCGCTTAAAGAGGAAAACTAGTTATTCTTAGCTGATTCCTCCTCACTCACACGAAATCGTTCTCTTTGCAATGGCATTCGTCTTGGTGAATTAAAAAATCAGTAAAAAGAAACAACAACACTTGATTAAAATACAAAAATTGAATAGGCAAATCTTTTTTGCAGCAATTCTTTTTGTGGCCACGCATCGTTTTTGTTTACACTTTTATTTTAGTTTTAAATTTACCTCGTTTCCATTTATGTTGATTGGCACTCTTAAGAAACGTTGCATACGCTGTCGAATTTGACAAGTATTAAATACTAGATATGTGTGCTCACAGTTTACACAGTTTAGGAACATGTTTTGTAGCTTTCAAAGAAGATTGAATTGTAAAACGTTTTATTTGGAGCGATCTAAATTTCCTGAGCCATACTAGAGTACTCTAGAATCAAAGTATTTTTATTCTATTGTAGGCTAATTTATAGTGGGAAAGTGTAGGTGAGAAATATAAATGTTAAAATAGATTTCAATATTAAAATAGATTTTGATATTATTTTGTTCTTATTAACTGTTAAAATATGACCCCTTTTTGTCTACAACATGGGCTTCTGAAAACAATCGCGGTCATTAACTCGCCAAATGCAGTAGGAAACGAGTAACGGCTGCACTTGACTGCTTCATATTCTGTTTACATAAGCTCGAAGTCTTTTCGAGTCGAAACTTAGAAAACCCTAAAAACATCTGATTTTGTGTTGTGCACAAAATTTATTTACCGACAGCCAATATACTCTCGTTACGCCGTTTTGTGAACACTGCTTATGAAGAAATAAGCAAAATTATAGACGAAACAAGGTAAAAGCAACAACAGGCCAATGGCTGAGCAATCCAATCAGTTTCAAATTAAGGTTTACACATGCGCCGGCAGCAACCGGCAGCCAAATTGACCAACAGCCAATAAAGTAACCAAAATCGGCAGATTGTAAAAAATTGTAGGAATTGTAAAAACAGCAAGAAAACAAGAAGCCAAAATAGTCAAATTTCGAGGAAAACCTGCTGGCTGAGCCAGCCCTGGGCAGACGACGCCTCAAGATGAATTCCCAAGATGCTATTCGACCTCGACTGGCTCTGAGCACCAGCTCACAGTCAGATTACCCGACCGACCATCCAATCATCCATCTATCTATCAGACAGCAAGTTCTTGGCGTGCCAATGTGTGACATCGCCGCGTGATACGAGGACATTGCACTCGCCGCATTATTGGCGAATTGCAAATTGTAAATATACTGCAATTAAATAGAAAACGAAATCAAAATACAAACTATGCGGAATCGAGTGCGGCCAATCTATTCTGGGACTTCAAAACTGCATAGGAGTTGGGGCCGTTTTATAGATAGCCATTGAATCGGGCACTCAGTAGACAGGCAGATTTACAATTGCTAATTATGCTGAAATAGTTTTGTATTAGGTTAAAGAATGGGGTATGCACTCGATATAAAGGAGGAAGAGTCGCTAATCGCAATAGCGTGCGAATCATTTAAGTTTAATTATAAGCTAAAAAACCATACATAATAATAACTGATACACACAACTCTTACGTCATTTAGGTTGATCCCAGCAGATCCCTCAAAAACCTTGCTTGGTCAATCCCATAGACAATAGGGAACCATGCGATTAATCTGCATGTTGTGTCTCTGCATTGCTTATAAAATTCGCATAAATCAACGCAGGTAATTAGGCAGACGCCAGAGTCAATAACAATCATTAGCAATGCCGCAATTTGACATTTTATCTTTCTCTGGCTATCTTCATCTTCATCTTTTATTATTTTATTCGATATGCCTCTCCGAATTTTGACTTCAGTTTTGTGGTTTCACACGAGGTGTGAAAATAACGACCGAAACTTGATCACTGCCAAAGCCAACAGCATCAAATTGATCAAAAACACCTATTATTGACAGCTCTCTTTTATTCGGCGGAAAATCCAAGAAACTTCATTTCATTCTCATTTTCAACGAATGCTTTCGAATATACTTCACGGACGGTATAAATCGATCATCTGCCGCAGTCGAATGTAATCCTCTTTTTTAGAGGGTGATATAAATAAAATCATCAGAATCGAAAGGAATCTATTATTTTAAAATTAATATTAATATGGTGTTAATTTGGTGTTAATCATTAAGTAAATAGTCTATATATCTATTTGAATATAAGCGTATCATCATTTATTAAGAAGCAATTGAACGTTGCTGATGCGAAGCACTTAAAGGGGCGTTCGGGCAATACGCAGCAGCTAACAAAACAAAAACTGGCAGCCAGAGAAATTAAAATTGTTTTGTTTAAAAGACACAACTAATTTCAAATGCCAAAAAAGAAAATAAACGCAAATAAATAAATAAATAACACCAAAACGAAATTGTCCGGCATAATAAAAGTACAACAACTGTGGACCAGAAATGACTCGTGATTATTTTGCTCACAAAATTTAGACTCATAGGCAACACGGGCAACGTCATCAGTACGTGTTCTTCAGGTTAAATATATCTGTCTATATAGCCATATAACACCTATGCAGAGCTCTGACGCGTTGGACTACTTTCTCACATTGATTTGATGGCTCAAGTTCAAAAGATTTGTTGACGACGTACAGTGGGACCTCTGCTTATTTTCCGATACAAAAATCTAGAAAATTCAGCTTTTGAATGAAGAATTCAATTTTCAATATCTATTAGCCATTTGAAAGTTTTATATCATCCTCTTCACCCTTCGTGTGCATTTAAAATAGAAGTTACATTGGCTTTATTAGGTGTTCCTGATAGAGGTAGACTTGTCAATCCAATTTAATTCAAATTTAAAAGCCATTTCAAGCATCAATCCTTTGGACTAATTATTTTCATTCTTATTTCAATTTTCTCGTGGTTCTTGGGCTAGGCCCAACTGTGAGCTACATCTATTCCGCCCACCCCGTGTCATCCGTGAAACCTACTGTAACGTATTGCATTCGCTCTAATGGCATAGCTGGCGTCATGGTTTGCTGGCATCAGCTGCCGTTTATTTTCCTATACATATGTAAATATTATAGAAATACAAAAACAAATAACACGTAATTCGAATCAGGGGGCACGATACATTTATTAGAACCGAGTGCAATTATCAGTTCATAGTCATCAGTTAAGAAATAATTAACTCGAATTTCCTCTGTTCCACTGGGTCATTGGACAGGCAAGAGCTCAACCCCCGCTATAGAACCCGTTATAGAAATACAGAAATGACGATAACTGATAAAGGTAAAATATTTTATGTGTATATATAGCAATATTAAAAATGTCTATTATTAGCGACAATGTTTACCTATCTTCCCTCAAACTACATATGAATTACACATTAGAAGCTCTTTTTCCAATTTGTGTTTCCGAAGTTGGTGAACCTAAATTTTACATTTACATACTGTATGTTGTATCAACATAAATTATGAATATTTTGGTAAAATTTTCAATTAGAGTGTAGATCAGTAGATCATAATCATGAGCATAAGGTAACAATTTTTATTTTCTAAATAACAAAAAGTTTAATAATAACGCAATAACAATATAGAGAAATCTTACAAATAATGGCTATCCAGATGCAGCACATAGTACATATGCATGCATCTTTCTCTGAAATAAAGGCGTCAATAATAACACTCAAGTGTGCATGTGTTATAGGACAGTGTGTAAGTGTGCATGTGCACGCGTGTGCTTGTGTGCGCTTGTCATGCATATTGTAAATCATTTTGCGTCAGACTTTGTGTCGCTCTGCCTCTATTTGTAGCCGTCTGCCACAGTGGCTGCTCCTCTTCGCTGTCTGCTGCCTCTGCGATGCTCTGCTGACGCTGGTAAACATGTGCTTGGATAGGCAAAGCTCGTCTATCTGTCTATCATATGCATATGTATATTTATATTCTACTATATTACTACCATAACCCCTTACGCCTGCCCTGAGCGGGCACAAATTGATGTCGTCATTCTGCCCGAGGCGTGTTTATAATTTCAGTTAATGCAGCAGCTGCATCAAACAAATCTTTTTCTTCGCCATTACGCAGCGCTTTTGGCAGAATGCGTAATGTTGCACATACGCAACGTGCGCGTAGTAATTAGAAGCAACGAGCACCGCCTCCACCACCTGAACCATCACCAATATCGAAGGGAGTCTCTCATACATACAAGTCTGTGTTCCGTTACTGTGCCAACAACTACTGCTATTCGAGTGGAGCCCAGCAGAGCCTGCCAAATGCTGCGCGCGAATTAAACCGGAGGAGACGGAGGAGACGGAGGAGCCGGAGGAGCCGGAGGAGCAAGCCAAATGTCCAATATCGCAGCCGTCGGGAAAGAGGTTGCGACAGGGATAGATCGCTGCCGGAAAAGTTACGCACTTCGAATCAGTGTTCAGATTCTGCCTATAGTAGCAGTTGTTATTGACCTCATAATAGATGTTGCTCTCGTAGGGCAGTGTATACAAGGACTCCTGACACTTGATGGCCGGCGATGGCAGCAAAAGTTTCACTGTTTGATGCGGCTGCTGTGGCAGCATTTGTTCATTTTCAATGGGTATACTATTATTGTTATTGTTATTGTTATTGTTGCTATCGTTGTTGTTATTGTTGTCGCAGCTGTGGCTTAGCGACGCCGTCGCCTCTTGCTTCACCACAATCAAAGAGGCAAGACGATCGCGCATTATACGTATTGGCTAGAGTGTATATATACATATACATATATATATATATATATATATATATATATATGTGTGTGTGTGTGTGTGTGTAATGGAAATGGAGGCGATTCATGAGCAGGCAACACAAGGCACAAGAAACAAACATAAAAGAAACAACATCAACAGTTAAAGGACACGTGAAAGTTATTAAACACCTGTATGGCGCACTGCAACACGATGGAGCTCCAGCACGACGTCCGAACTAGAAGCCAATTTTGTGTCTAACACAAAAACTTGGCAATTCGCCCGTTGTGGTCACTCCGATAATACATAGCTGTAATCGAGCGTGGCTGCTGCTGCCATTATTTGCTCGACATTATTTAATGCAAACTCGCGGCTCACACTTGTCCTCGTCTATTTCTGTTATGTCCCGGCGACCCTGCTTATTCTTATTCTGTTCACAGGCGTTTGCGCAGTGCCCGCGGACTTCGCGACGTAACCAACTGACGACGCAATGGCTTACTCACGTTTATATGTCAACGTATGTGTGTGTGTGTAAGTTGGCGGTGTTATGTATACTCGACGTGCAAGGACTTTACTCAACGCTAAATGTGCAAAGACATTAACAATTTTTGTTGTTGCTTGTGTTATAGTTGTTATATTTACTTTGTGCTTGCACCTGCACTGAAGTTATGCGTAATTCTACACAAATACCAGTGAATTCACACAATATATTCGAATTGCAAATAGTTCACGTTACACATACGCAGCGTAACACAGACGCGCGACACAACTGCAACGGGAGTTGCACGATGTGTTCTTAATCGGCTTCCGTTTCCGTATTGGACTAGATGACAACTTGTTGGAATGAAACTGAACTATTCGTTGAGCACCAATTAAATATTTCAATACCTTGTATATATTTTCTATTAGTATTATTATATTATGCGAGACATTTATACGTTCGATTACAAATGAGTGCCGCTTTTTATTTTGCTTTATGGATTATTAAGCGATTTGGGCTGGTTGTGTTTGGCTTGTTGTTCAATGTTTGCGAAAAGTTGTTAACAATGCGGCGTCTGTGACGCGACTGAACTTATCTTTACAGTTATACGCGCCTATATCCAAACGGAGGAGCAGCGCACCAAGCAGCAATCTGCTTCAGTCGGCGTCGCCAGCTGCTTGTGTGTGAGAGAGAGAGAGAGAGAGAGAGAAAGAAGGACAGAGAGCAAGAGAGCGAGAGAATGAGAGAGAGGGAGAGCGAAACCCGTGCTCGGGTGCAACACGCGACCTACCTTGCGCACTCGGTTTTCGGCTTTTTGGTAAGACAAATCGTAAACGCTATTACGTCATTTACCGAGCCATCATCATCGGCAAGAGCAAGAGCAAGAGCATGAGCAGAAACAGGGGTAGCCGGCCCAGCGCGATGCCAGCTGCGGCAACAACAGCAATACAAAGCTCGTGCGAACAAAAATCGATGACGTCGTTGTTAATGCGCCTGCGCTGCAGCCGAAACGGCAATGGGCAAATGCCGTATACGAAAAGGCAATAATGTAGGGGCACAGCTCTGTCGACGTCGTATGAAAGCGAAGACGGAACTAATTTGCGTCATAAAAAGCTCTGCACTGCTCTGTTCTTTAAACGACAGTGGGAAATTGATTTTCTAGTTCCTTTCTCACCTGCTTTATTTAAATGGCTGTTCACTCCCTTTTGCCCGCCCTCACACACTCTCTCTCTCTTTCCTTATTCTTCTATTCTTTTCTAACTGTTGACAATGTTTCACACGCCCACATTTCAAACATCATTATCATGTATGTACGTATGTACGTACATATACATATATATACATATATATATATATATATATATA